GGGTTGTCTTGCGATGTTAGGCCTTCAATTCTGGCCTATAGATCGACTCGAAATAATACAAAAACTTAAGTTTTCGGTCCAGTTCATCCCAAAATTATTATCTGATCATCAGCGAAAATTATAGGCGTTGTCCTTGACCATACATGGATCCTCATGGAAAAATTTAAAGCGATCAGAGCTATATTTCCGCCCTCTAGTGTGATAATGGGTTACTAAATAATATCTGAATACGTAAGAACCTGTAAATATTTAAGTGTAACTCCCACATCCGAGTACACACGACCATATAATTGGTATCAATTTAAAAGTCAACCACTCCTCTTGAATATACTATCAACTTCTCGGGTCTATGTCCTTCGGATAGAGTACAAATTTTGTAATTTTTCACACAAAAGTCAGGGTCCATTTGACCCGCTAAATATTGGCCGATCTTCATTAAAACAGGCATGCCAAATCTTTGGCCCGATCCCCTACACCATGTAAAATTTCACGATGTTCCGGCCTGGAGCGACCAGAAAAACCGACAAAAATTTAGTATTTGGTCCATTTCATCCCCAAAATATTAACCGATCTTTACCAAAAACAATAGGGGTCTTCATTGGCCAGACCCCATCCTTCATGCAACATTTCGTGAAGATTGGTCCATAGCTGTGGCCTGTATCGTGTTTGAGGCGACGGGTTAGTTGTCCACACTCGGAAAACCGAACCTACTATGAAAAAGCAGAGAAAACAAACCAAACCCAGCTAATGGTGACGAGGATGTGAATCTGCACTTGGAATATGCGCACGTTGTACAGAACAGGCGAAGTGTCCCCTTTGGCGGATGGATTCAAGAAATACAAAGCCGAGGCAATAGCCTTACAGGAAATGCGATGGAAAGGGACAGGCGCAAGTAAATTAGATGATTTTGCACTGTATTATAGCCGCCATGAAGCGAGACATGAATTTGGCTGCGGATTTATGGTTAACAGGAGAATAAAATACCTCGTCTCCAGATGCACTCCAGTAGATCAGCGAATTGCTTTAATCCGTATAAAAGCGAAGTTCTTCTACATCAATATCGGAAGGGAAAATATCTCTGGCCCCACCGTCGGAAAATTCAGCCTTCATGAAGAAACATTCGACAACGTCATGAGGTTGGTTGACTTCGCGGCATTCGACAACGTCATGAGGTTGATTGCCTTCGCGGCAGCAAAAAACATGGTAGTTAGCAGCACCAGATTCAAGCATCTCGATATACACAAGGCCACCTGGATTTCTCCTGATCGAACAATGAGAAATCAAATCGATCATGTTGTGATAGACGGAAGGCATTCATCCAGTATTTTAGACGTACGATCGATCCGAGAAGCGAATATCGATTCGGACCATTACCTTGTGGTAGCCAAAGTACCTTAATGTAGCAGCAAAGGTGCGATCTAATGTAACACGGAAATTTGACTTCGAAAAGCTGCAAACACAACAGATAGCAGAAGCCTACTCCGCTCAACTTACCCAACTGCTTGACGAAAGCACCCCTTGTTCCGATAACAATATAGAAGCACAGTGGCTGAGAAGTGTCCACTCCCTGCAAACTGAAGCAAAAGCAACACTTGGGTACTAAAGACCACCATCAAGAAATCCGTAGTACGAGCAGGAGTGTCGTAATGCTACTGATATGAAAAACGCAGCGTATAGGGCAACCCTGCGAACAGGAGAAAAAGAGAGAGGAGAAACGTATTTTCAGAAAAAAGAAGAAAGAACAAGAAAAACGTGAGCGTGAGCAAATCGAGATGTATATGAGTCAGAATGAAGTCCGGACATTTTACCAATGGGTAGAATACCAAACCGAAGGCATTGGTGCTGCCACATCCTCCTGTGGAGATGCTGAGTATCTGGTAGGAACATTTTGAAAAGCTTCTGATATCAAATAGTGGCGGAGAAGAAGATACCTCGGAACTAATAAGATATGATGGTATAGGGTGTACAAAACCTAGCCAAGATGAAATTAGAATAGCAATCAATCGGCTGAAGAATAATAAAGCAGCAGGTGTCGATGGGTTACAAGCCGAACTATTAAAGAGCGTTGGTCAGATGCTGGTAAAGAGCATGCACCAGCTGATTAGTTCAGTTTGGCTAGAATAATGTATGCCCAATGATTGGAACCTCAGCATCCTGTGTCCCGTGCACAAAAAAGGATACAAGACGATATGTGTCAACTATAGAGAAATAAGTCTCCTTCCCATCGCATATAAAGTGCTATCCAACGTACTGTGTGAACGACTGAAGCCAATGGTCAATGACATCATTGGACCATACCAATACGACTTCAGACCTGGAAAAAACCCCACGAAAAACACATCGACACATTCCACCTATTCGTCGACTATAAAGCTGCATTCGATAGCCCTATCCGTTCAGATGTTTTTAAAGCCATGTCTGTGTTTGGCATTCCTGCAAAATAACTTTAACTGGCACAAGATCAGCAGTTGGAGTCGGAAAGGACCTCTCGGATCCCTTCAATACCGAACGAGGATTCAGACAAAGTGACAGTTTGTCGTGTGACCTTTTTAACACCCTGCTGGAAAATGTCATACGACAGGCAAAAGTAAACAGAAATGACACTCTGTATACCAAACAACACAAGTTACTCGCCTACGCCAATGACATCGACAGCGGTAACAGCCACCTTAAAACAAATAGACTAGGACCAACTGTGGAACTTGAGAACTACAGCTTCGATGTAGTCAAATACTTTATATACCTTGGTACAGTAGATATCGGATATTAGAAACTTCGAAAAAGTCTGAGAGTTCTTTCTTATATGCGTTTCTTTTCTTTTCTTATCAGATATAAGAAAGTTGTTTCTTATAAGAGTACATCTTAGTATTTCTTAGTATTTCTTATTAGAATACATTTTCTTAAAGTAAAATGTTTAAATGAAAATCATGTTTTAAAGAACAATATTTTATTAAGTAAAACAATTCAGTATATAAAAATACAAATTTACGACAGTTTGGCGAGATGAGAAGATGTAAAAAGTCTCGGTGATTTTGATAATCTTTCTTATATCAGATTTTTTCTTATATAAGATGTGCTTATATCCGACATCTACTGTACCGCCATAAACAAAAGGAATGACATTAGTTTCGAAATTCGGAGAAGGATAGTGATGGCCAACAGATGCTACTATGGTCCGAGCAAACAACTCAAAAGCAAGGCCACCTCCCGCCAGACCAAACTCACACTCTACAATACGCTGATACTACCCGTGCTGTTGTATGGATCTGAAGCATGGGTACTTACACAAGAAGATGAGGCAGCTCTTGGAGTGTTGGAGTGTTCGAAAGATCTATGGGCCGATCTGGTGAATATCGCCGTCAAATAAACCATGAGTTGTATTAGCTATTCTCGGACATCGACATTGTTAGAAGTATTGAGCTACAGCGACTACGTTGGCTAGGTCATGTTGTGAGAATGGATGAGGATGTCCCAGCCCAGAAGGCATATTAAAGCGAACCAGCTGATGATTCACGCAGAAGGGGAAGGCCACGAATAAGATGGAAAGACCAAGTGGTAGACAACATTGCCGAATATGTTCCTTCGAATTGGAAAACGAAAGTTCTGTCACAAGCCAGCTATGTTAGTAAGTAAGAGCCACGTTTTTTTAAAGAATATTTTTTCAAGGTTAATAAGAGGCGTGGATTTTTTAAAGAATATCAATTTCAAGGACTATGGGAGGCGTGGATTATATAAAGAATACTTTTTCAGGGACTATCAAACAGGCGTGGATTATATAAAGAATACTTTTTCAGGGATTATCAAAGAGGCGTAGATTTTTAAAGAATACTTTTTCTGGGACTATCAAACAGGCGTAGATTTTTAAAGAATACTTTTTCTGGGACTATCAAACAGGCGTAGATTTTTAAAGAATACTTTTTCAAGGAACATAGATAGGCGTGGAGTTGGAAAAATATTTTTTCGAGGAACATAGATAAGCGTGGATTTGGAAAAATATTTTTATAAAGGTTTATTAACTGTCCTTCATTTTTGCAAATATTTTGTTAGGTCTATCAACAGTCGTATATTTTAAAAATATTGTTTTTAAGGTTGTTAAGTTCGACCTAGTCCCTGGCTACAATTTCCAATTACCACAAAACAACTCTTTTATCTCGAAGGATTAATTATTTTTCTTAATTTCAATTTTCCAAAAAAGTATCAAAAGTCTTCAAATACTGACAAAGCAAATAAGTACATGTCCTTGAAATTCACAGTATGTCCCAACAGGTTAACTCTGTAACAAGCATTTCAATCATTTACAATACAAAAACAACAACAAAAACAAGTACAGAACATTCTGTTTTTGAATGTACCTAATTTAGGAGAATTGATTTGCGTGTTGCACGCAGACCCGTAATTGCAACAGATACATATGTTTGTGTATTGAATACACAAATACAACTACGTAGTTTGCTTGTTTGGGACACAAACATCAACAGTAGCAATTTGTTGTCTCTTTGATATGTTTCATTAACTGTCATCGACATCGTTCGACAATGCCATTGTTGCAGACTATTGCTCTGCTCGGTGTCAATAATTAATTATTACAGTCTCTTTTTGTAAATTAAACTTTAAAATGGAATGCCGTCATCAGCTAACCTAAATATTTACACACATGTCTGTTCAAGACACAGTATCAATTAATTTTAAAAATTACAAATAATTTTAGGGTAGAAGAATATCATATGATGAGGTGTTAGTAAAACGCCTTTGACATTTTGTGTGTAGGAAAAACATATATTTACTATATACACACTTTGAAAGGCTGGTCAAACATAATTTAATGTAATGACGTACTTTTCGGAAGACTAAGGTGGAATATTTTATATACAATGTTTTGTATATAAAATAGTTAAAATATTCCATATAATTACTTTTATAAATACGTCATTTCAAATCAGTTATATATCTACATGCATTGCCTAAATTAATTGTTCGGGTTTTTTCTTATTTCTTTCCAGGATTTCCTACCACGTTTGCATGGCATTGGTCTGTGTGTTGTTAATCTAATGGATGATATGCACGAATATGTCCGAGGACTATTTTTCCTAATGTAAGTATGAACGATAATTAATTCATATTTATAATTGTTGTATGTTGATGGCAGGAAGTCAAATCGCCTCTCATTTGTCGGTGCTACGGAACGTATGATTATTTAAATGATTTTATTACAAATAAGTATACGCTACCGTGTATTTCTATTTCAATACTGTCTCAAAAAAAAAAAAAAAAAAACATCTTCCAAAACTAACATATGTTTTTATACCTTACACAACAATGTTGTCAGGGTATTATAGCTTTGTGCAGCCCTAAGAGTTTGTATACCGATACCGTCATATCTCGACTAGCTGAGTCGATCTAGACATGTGAGTCCGTCCGTCCGTCTGTCCATTAATAATTTGTAAACACGATACAGGCCACAGTTATGGACCAATCTTCACGAAATTTTGCATGTAGGATGGGTTCTGGTCAATGAAGACCTCTATTGTTTTTGGAAAAGATCGGTTAATATTTAGGGGATGAAATGGACCAAATACTAAATTTTTGTCGGTTTTTCTGCATGCCTTTTTTCATAATAATCGGTCAATATTTAGCAGATCAAATGGACCTTGACTTTTGTGTTACTCCTGAAGGACATATACCCGAGTAGTTGATAGTATGTCCAAGAGGAGTATTTGATCTTTAAATGGATACCAATCATATTGTTCTGTGTACTCGGATGCGGAATTTATACGTAAATATTTATAGGTGTATTTTTATTAGTATCAATATTTCCCCACTAGAGGGTGGAAATGTAGATTTTCTGGTCGATCTAGAGTCCATTATTATATGCAGAACATTACTTATTTTACACAGTGAAGAGGATCTGACAAAATCCTTAGACCGACTCTTTAGATGATGATCGGTCTATAATCCGAGGGGCAAATCAACAAAAAACTAAAATGTCAAAATTTTTATTTGATGGCGTAAATATTCACCTTGGGAAAACAACATGTGAAAACTTGCCAGGGCTAGAAAGTGGAGATTTTCAGTGTAGAGGGTACAAATATCGCGAAATATTACCCAAGCTCGGAATATGGATCCACAGAAACATAGAATTCGGTGAAAGTTGTGTAGGGTATCATATGGTCGCCCCGTCCGACTATACTGCTCCGCTCTTACTTACATAGCTGGCTTGTGACCGACGTTTCGTTCCATCGTTTCCAGGCACTTCGGTCTTTTGCGCAGTTTTTCCAATTTGAAAGACCATTTTCGGCGATATCGTCTTCGGCTTGATCTTTCCAACGTATTCTTGGCCTTCTCCTTCTGCGTGAACCATCAGCTGGTTCGCTTTTATATGCCTTCTGGGCTGGGGCATCTTCATCCATTCTCACAACATGACCTAGCCAACGTAGTCGTCTAACAATGTCGATGTCCGAGAATAGGTGGCTCATTCGACATCGATATTCACCGTCAATGCAGATCGGCCCATAGATCTTTCGGAGAATTTTTCTCTCAAACACTCCAAGAGCTCTGATGGCGTAAGTACCCATGCTTCAGATCCATATAACAGCACGGGTATTATCAGTGCCTTGTAGAGTGTGAGTTTGGTCTGGCGGGAGGTGGCCTTGCTTTTGAGTTGTTTGCTCAGACCATAGTAGCATCGGTTGGTCAACACTATCCTTCTCCGAATTTCAAAACTGATGTCATTCGTTTTATATATGGCGGTACCAAGGTATACAAAATCTTTGACTACCTCGAAGCTGAAGTTCTCAAGTTCCACAGTTGGTCCAAGTCTACTGGACGTCTTGCGCGTTGATACCATCAGCTTGGTCTTCTCGCCGTTTACTGCCAGACCCACTTTGGCTGACACCTTCTCAATTTGTTCAAAGGTGGCTGTTACCGCTCTCAATGCTGAACCCATTATGTCGATGTCATCGGCGTAGGCCAGTAACATGTGTTGTTTGGTGTACAGAGTGTCATTTCTTTTCACTTTTGCCTCTCGTATGACCTTTTTTAGCAGGATGTTAAAAGATCACACAACAAACTGTCACCTTGTCTGAGTCCACGGTCGTTATTAAAGGGCTCCGCGAAGTCCTTTCTGACTTTACATGCAGACAAGGCTTTATACACCTCTGAACGGATAGGGCTGTCAAATGCGGCTTTACTCCGCTCACTGTTTTAAAAATTTTCAAGGGCTGTCAGCAGGATGGCTTTTTTTCTGAACGACCAATAGGCCTGGTTTTTAAAAATATTAATATATTTTTTTCAAGAACTATCAACAGATCTTAATTAAAAAAAAAACCAGTGAGCGGAGCAGTATAGTCGGACGGGGCCGACCATACGATACCCTACACAACTACCACGGAACTCAAATTTTCTGCGGATGTTTATTCCGAGCCTGGGCAATATTTCGTGATATTTTCACTCTCTTTCCCGATTAGTGGTAAACAGCTCCTGTTCCTCACACTGACATATTTTCCGAATATTACGTGTATTCAGTACAGCTATTGTCCAGATTCCCTTCACCGTGGGTTTCATTTGTGGTCCATAGATTGACTCGAAAGTAACACAAAAAATTAAGTTTTCGGTCCACTTCATTCCAAAATTATTATCTAATTATCACCGAAAATTATAGGCGTTGTTCTTGACCATACCCGGAACCTCAGGGAACATTTCAAAGCGATCAGCGCTATAGTTCCGCTCTCTAGAGTGATAATGGGTTACTAAATAATATACGAATACGGAGATACCTGTAAATATTTAGTTGTAACTCCCACATCCGAGTACACACGACAATATAATTGGTCTTAATTTAAAGGTCAACCACTCCTCTTGGATATACAATCAACTTCTCGGGTCTATGTCCTTCAGGGGCAAATATATAGGCAATAAAATACAAATTTTGTAATTTTTCACACAAAAGTCAGGGTCCATTTGAACCGCTAAATATTGACCGATCAGGGCCATTATTGCGGCCTCTGGAGCGACCAGAAAAACAGAAAAAAATTTAGTATTTGGTCCATTTCATCCCCTAAATATTAACCGATCTTTCCCAAAAACAATAGGGGTCTTCATTGGCCAGAACCCATCATACATGCAAAATTTCGTGAAGATTGGTCCATAACTGTGGCCTGTATCGTGTTTACAAATTATAATGGACAGACGGACGGTCGGCCGGACGGACACACATGTCTAGATCGACTTAGCTAGTCGAGATATGACGATCGGTATACTTAAAGGTGGGTCTAGTACCAATATTTCGAGGCGTTACAAACTTTTGGGGCTGCACAAAGCTATAATACCCTGACAACATAGTTGTGTAAGGTATAATTAAGGACTACAAACAAGCTTGGATTTAAGAAAAACAATTTTTTAAGAACTAAAAATAATTTTTCAAGGATAATAAACAGGAGTGGATTTATGAAAATACTTGTTCAAAAAATATATTTTCAAGGATATAAACTACTCGCATTATAAAAGTCCTTGAAGAAATATATGTATGTATATATATATATATATAATATCCTGCCTTATATATAATATCCGCCTGATATTGGATTTACAAATACACATTTAAATTTTTGAGGAGACAGCAGAAGGAGTGGACCAATAGTTCCCATCTTCGGGCTTGATCTAGGGTTGGTAAAAAAATTGGTTGTGCAAGGTTTGGTTCAAATCTGACGCCTGATATTGCATTTATAAATATTGAAAATTTTGAGCATTTGTGAGGGACGCACCAGAAGGAGTGAATTAATTGATCCCATCTTCGGACTTTATCTAGACTTCTTAAAGATAATGGGTTGTGCAAAGTTTCGTTAAAATCGGATAGTCCATTTTGCATGTTATTCAAACTTCAAACTATTATAAAATAAATTTTAGCACAATTTTAACCATTTTGTGGGGGGAGGTACCAGAAGGAGTGAACCGATATTCCCCATCTTCGAACTTAAACTAAGTTTGGAAGAAATATTAAGATGTGCAAAGTTTGAATTAAATTGGTTGTTGCCTTCGAGAATTATCGTGCGCACCAGCCAGGCAGACAGACGGACAACGGACGGACGGATGGTCATGTGTATATAGACCCCAAATTCTGAAACGGAGTTTCGCCAAAGAAACATGGGGTCTAACACCAATATTTCGATGAGGCATATTTCCACCGTATCAAGTTGTATATACCCTCATTAGCCATAAGGCCGAGGGTATAAAAACGCCTTTTTACAGTCATTGAAAAAATCTCTTTAAAAAGTGCTACAATTTTCCTTACATACTTATATTTAAAATAGTATTCATATTAAAATTCCATATACATATATTTCATACTTCAACATATATTCTCCATTATAGTTGTTATGATAAATTTTAACATATTCCTTCTTGTTCTTCTCTTCCCACTTCCCCCTCGGCAGGTATTGTGCACCCACCGTATTATTATCATATCTCTATATAAGGACCTCGCAAGAATTGCGGCCACCTGAAGAACCATTAGCTGTAATGTTGTATGAACATCGAGCGGATATACGCATGAGACAGCGGTAAGTTTTACTCACACGCAAACCCACACTCTCTTCCTCTCTCATTCACTTACACACACATCCACTAAATTTAACAACAACAAAGGGATCCCATTCAAATAAAGTAGAAACATGCTGTGAAATTTTAAACAATAGGAAAGAGATTAATAAAGTTAAAACGATTGTCGTCGTCCTCGACGTTGTCATAAAAAAAGGACAACGAAATCCATCGTCCTGAAAGACACACACAAAAGGACAATGCCCAAGAAGAAGAGGAGGAGATGGAAGAAAAATATGTTTACATGACAAAACAAGAAAAAAAGTCATAGTCAGATTATGCCGTACAAATGTAAATACATACATTTTTGACAAAAGGAATCTTTTGTGCGGATTCATAGCTCCGTAGCGTGGCAGAAACAAGAAAGTGACAAATCTCTTGTTGAGGAGAGGCAAATAAATGAATGAATGAAGATAGATTCCGAGGTATTGTTTTCGGTGGCCATAAGAACAATACAGCGAAAGGAAATGAAGAAAAAGACATCGCGTCCTTATGGTAACGTCTATTTAACTTTAAGAAGGAAAAACAAGAAAATTCTCAGGTATATAAAATCCTCCAAAGTTCGCTAGCTCTCCCTCTAGGACCTTGAGCATGCAAGTGAGGATACATTGTCTTGTGTTTCTTTTTATTTATGTCTCGTCTTTAAATGGAATATTTATGTTTTTTCGCTCCATCTTTCTTATTCGTATTATTTTCGACCAATGACAAAGATGCCCTCTTAGGGAGCTGCATATTAAATTTATCACTTTGATTGATGTCTCTTGTATTTCCCACGTGGTATATAAGTGAGCTCTGTGCTCTAGGTGGTGGCCCTTCGTTTTATTGACAGATGTCAACAAACGGGGAATATCCTCAGTAAATACTGCCAAAAATAAAGAAATTTGATATTGAGGGGAGATTTATTGCTGCTGCTGTATCTTTGCTAGATGTGGCGATGAGTTTACGCATCTCAAAAAAACATGAAAATATTTATCAGACTTTAAGTATAAAGGTCCTGGCTCGTTTCATCTGGCACATGCCCTGGTTTCATGTTACAGAGATATGAAGTACCAAAGAAAAACATTGTCAAATATAACATATAATTGTTTTTAATAATTTATCAGTTTCTTTGAAAACTATGGTTTCTACATAATTTATGTGGGGCAATTATTTTATACGTATTAAAATACCAAATAAACTAAGAAGATTAAGAAAAGCGTTTCACAATTACGACAACGTGACAGTCATATCATCAAAGCATATTTTTAAAAAATCCACCCTTAAAGTAGAACTTGAAAAATATTAAAAAAAAAACATTAAGCAGTATAGTTGGACGGGGCCGACCATATGATACTCTACACTTACTTAGCTGGCTTGTGACAGAACTTTCGTTTCATAAGCCGAGCTTAGAAAAGATTTCCAGACGCGTCGATCTTTTGCGCAGTTTTTCCAAGTTGAAAGACCATTTTCGGCGATATTGTCTTCGACTTGATCTTTCCAACGTATTCTTGGCCTTCCCCTTCTGCGTGAACCATCAACTGGTTCGCTTTTATATGTCTTCTGGGCTGGGGCATCTTCATCCATTCTCACAGCATGACCTAGCCAAAGTTGTCGCTGCAGCTCAATACGTCTAACAATATCGATGTCCGAGAATAGCTGGTACAACTCGTGGTTCATTCGACGGCGATATTCACCGTAAACGCAGATCGGTCCATAGATCTTTCGGAGAATTTTTCGCTCAAACACTCCAAGAGCTGCCTCACTTTCTTGTGTAAGTACCCATGCTTCAGATCCATACAACAGCACAGGTAGTATCAGCGTCTTGTAGAGTGTGAGTTTGGTCTGACGGGAGGTAGCCTTGCTTTTGAGTTGTTTGCTCTGACCATAGTAGCATCGGTTGGTCATCACTATCCTTCTCCGAATTTCAAAACTGATGTCATTAGTTTTATTTATGGCGGTACCAAAGTATATAAAATCTTTGACTACCTCGAAGCTGTAGTTCTCAAGTTCCACAGTTGGTCCGAGTCTACTGGACGTCTTGCACGTTGATATCATCAGCTTGCTCTTCTCGCCGTTTACTGCCACACCCACTTTGGCAGACTCCTTCTCAATTTGTTCAAAGGTGGCTGTTACCGCCCTCAATGTTCGACCCATTATGTCGATGTCATCGGCGTAGGCGAGTAACATGTTTTGTTTGGTGTACAGCGTGCCATTTCTGTTCGTACGACCTTTTCCTGCAGGATGTTAAAAAGGTCACACGACAAACAATCACCTTGTCTGAATCCTCGTTCGGTATTAAAGGGCTCCATTCCGACTTTAACTGCTGATATTGTACCTGTTAAAAATATCCTGAATAGCCGAATTAATTTTGCAGGAATGCCAAACGCAGACATGGCTTTATACACATCTGAACGGATAGGGCTGTCAAATGTGGCTTTATAGTCGACGAATAGGTGGTATGTGTCGATGTGTTTTTCGTGGGCCTTTTCCAGGATTTGGCGCAGTGTGAAAATCTGGTCAATTGTGGATTTACCAGGTCTGAAGCCGCATTGGTATGGTCCAATAATGTCATTGACCATTGGCTTCAGCGTTCACACAGTACGCTGGATAGCACTTTATATGTAATGGGAAGGAGACTTATTCCTCTATAGTTGGTACATATCGTCTTGTGTCCTTTTTTGTGCACAGGACACAGGATGCTGAGGTTCCAATCATTCTTCTAGCCAAATTGTAATAATCAGCTGGTGCATGTTAGATGGTATACCCCCTATACCGTCATCTATTATTGGTCCTGGGGTATCCACTTCACTGCTACTATTTGATACCAGAAATTCCTCAAAATGCTCCTTCCAGATCCTCAGCACGCTGTCTGTATCTGTCACCAGGTTTCCTTCTTTATCTCTACTGGAGGATGTGCCTGCACCAAAGCCTTCGGTTTGGTGTTTTACCCGTTGGTAGTATTTTCGGACTTCATTTTGACTTCTGTACATCTCGATTTGCTCACGCCCACCCTACACAACTTCCACGAAAATCTAACTTTGTGTGTTTCTATATTCTAAGCTTGGGCAATATTCGCGATATTTTCACCCTCATGACCGTCTAGATGTTAACAAATTTTACTAATATTCAGTACAGCCCTTCTAATTACTTATCTATATTCCTTTCGCCGTGGGTTGTTGTGTGATGTTCGGCTTTCAATTGTGGCCTATAGATCGACTCGAAAAAAACACAAAAAAAAATATGATTTCAGTCCATTTCATTTCAATATTAATATCTGATCATAACCGAAAATTATGGGCGTTGCCCTTGACTATACCTTGATCCTTATTGCAAGTTTGAAAACAATCAGCGCTATATTTGCGCCCTCCAGTGGTAATGGATTACTAATTAATATCTGAATACATAATAAACCTGTAACTATTGAAGTGTAACTCCCACACATTTAATTTAAAGGCCATCCACTCCTCTTGGATATACTATCAAATCTCGGGTCTTTGTCCTTCAGGAGTAAATATATTCGCCATAGAATACAAATTTTGTCATTTTTCACACAAAAGTCAGGGTCCATTTAAACCGCTAAATATTGACCGATATTTATAAAAACAGGCAAGCTTATTCTTTGGCCCGATCCCCTTCTCCATGTACAAATTTACGATGTTCGGGTCATAATTGCGGCTTCTGGTGTGACCAGAAAATCAGACAAAAAAAAAAAAAAGTTGATGGTCCATTTCATCCCCATGTTCCATTTCATTGGCCAGAACCCATCCTACGTGCAAAATTTCGTGAAGATTGGTCCATAACTGTGGCCTGTATCGTGTTTACAAATTATAATGGATAGACAGACGGACGGACACATATGTCTAGATCGACTCAGCTAGTCGAGATATGACGTTCGGTACACTTAAAGGTGGGTCTATGACCAATATTTCGCTGATTTACAAACTCTTGGGGCTGCACATAGCTATACTACCCTGACAACATAGTTGTGTAGGGTATAAAAAACTCCTCTTTAAGACCTTAAAAATATATTGGTTTTAAATTAATGTCTTCTGATAAACATTCTAAAACCAATTTTGAAAAAAACTTATTCAAAATCCACTGGTATCGCATAACAACGTTTTGAAACAATTTTCGAACAACAACAACATTTTGCGAAATATCACATTTCTCTTCGCAATTGCCAATCTCCACTGACAAAACAAAAACGCAAACTAATCCGATTGTAATTTTTAATTAAGCATTTAATTCCAAAAGGACTCGCATTAAATAACAAACGTTTCATTTTCTATTCGTATCAAATCCTAGAATTGTCGTCAGATTTTAGAGATTGACCAAAACTTCAAAGCCATTCTCAATGTCTGTAATTAATTAGCATCATACGCACACACACCCAGAGACATTCAATACGACAAACAGCGATGAAGTGGATTTAATTGCATTTCAAGAATCCTGTAGTTAATGATGGACATTATTTCGGTATAGAAGAACAAAGAAGATGAATGTAGTCGTAGAGAATAAAATTTCAAAATGATTAGATGCTCGTAATTAGGTTTTATACGATAAATTGAGTTTTCTAGAACAGGAGTTTACCAACAGGTTGGTTAGATGGAAGGATTTTATTGTGGACAGTAAAATGCATTGACACTAATGGTCGTTATTAAAAAAATATTTTTGAAAATCTACCCCTTGCTAAGGCCATCAAAAAATTATTTTTTAAAAACTACGCCTTGCTAAGGCCATCAAAAAATTATTTTTGAAAATCTACGCCTTGCTAAGGCCTTTAAAAAATTATTTTTGAAAATCTACGCCTTGCTAAGGCCTTTAAAAAATTATTTTTGAAAATCTACGACTTGCTAAGGCCTTTAAGAAATACTTTTTAAAAATATACGCCTTGCTAAGGCCTTTAAGAAATACTTTTAAAAAATATACACCTCGCTAAGGCCTTTAAAAAAAATATTTTTGAAAATCTACGCCTTGCTAAGGC